GAAGGTGCTTTATATGGTACATGATCAAGAGTTCGACAGCACATGACAGTATAAAATCTTCGTGATTATTATAGTTAATATCATCTAGTATGACTGTAGCCCATGAAAACATCGTTCTAAAATATGTGTTAAGTCGTTTTCCTGTGAACAAAATGTTTGAGATACATTTTACAGGCTACACTATATGTAATACACGTTTTACATCGACGATCCGGAAAAACAGCCCAGAACCACTTGAAAACGCGACTACGTCGATAAAATGGTACCGGAGAATTGACTTCTGTGGTCAGCGACACACTTGTCGCCCAGGGACATAATTTGCCTTTTTTCCAAAATATTATTTATTTCTGTTCATTCGCTTTCCATCAGTCAACATTTTGAGTAAGGGGCTCCGTGTAAATCATGGTTTTATTGCCATTAACCATCGAAATATCTGAATATCAATATCTAGTTAAGTTCAGATGAATCGGACGTTTGTTTCGGATTAAATAGATTTTTTTTCAACTGTTTGGGGAAGACACAAAAAGTACGAGTACGAAAAAGACAAGACAGAACATAAATCCAATAGCACAACATGACTTTACAAAAGAATTTAATCCATGATATTAAGTTGACGGGTTGTAAGTAGTTATATACACTTGAAAAGAAGCCTATAAATATATTCCCACAGAAATTATGATTATTTTCAACTGGCTACATATATTATTATATAATCTTTGAAAAATAATTTATAATATTCTGTACTCACGAGAGTGATTTCAAAATTAATTATTAGGAATATACTGAATAAATAAATTAATAGTTATAAAATATAAGTTAAATCTTACTACTTATTATTGTCCTGTAATTGAATTATTTTATAACAATGCTTAAAGAAACAAACAGACACTTCGTCATATTGGCTTACAAGAATATAAAAAATGTCCAATTATGAATACTTATTTAAAATCATAATTTTAAATTAAATTTCTCAACATTTTGATGGTAGAAATGGAAAAAAATAGTTATTAGTGAAATAAAAATTTCTCATCACAAAGATACTTTTATATATATATATATATATATATATATATGCATTTTAATCTGTCAAGTCCTCATAACTTTCCTTCGTAACGAATAATCTAATATTTCCTCTCATAATTAAAAGCTTTAATGGACGTATAGATGTAATACCATTTGCATTGAGTGTATTTTTGAGCCTAACTATGTTTTTTTTTTTGAATCAGTATGAGTAGTTATTATTTACACATTAATAATACTGCATACAAGAACTTGTTTTTATTGATATTGTTTCTAATATAATTTCAATAGATTTTAGTAAATAATTTTTTTTTTATCTTTCTTTTACTTATATCAAATATTTTTGCCAAATAAAATAAATATAACTTATGAGTTCCTACTTACTTTTAATATATATGTTACAGCTTAAGTCCGAAACATGGATAAGGTGCACATTAACCAGATATTGTGCACTCTAGCCACACTGGTTAGTAGTAAAGTAGACAACGTTTAAAATCATAGTTTTGTACACATTACCTGGCTAAATTAACTTTAACCATCGGGTTATGGCTAATGTAAAATATTATTAATAAGTTCATAATTATATTTTATTTCAATAAAATGAATTAATATAGGTAAGTTAACAATTAAATAATAATAAACTACATGATATTCCCTATATTAATCTGGTATTTTGAACATTAGCCACTGATTGATGGTATAAAAAATTGACAAAACCTAGTATGATATTATAATTATATTTTCAACAGTACCCTAAATGTAAGATATGAAATTACTCATGGTGCTATTTTCATGAAGTGAATGCCGTAAAAAGATAAGATGGGACTATCTATCACTGCTTTTTATCTCGCGGTCATTTATCGTAATCGTTTGATGTTACCTATATGAATTTAAATCAGTTGAAATTTAGTTGTGTTCGGAGTAAAACGTCAACGTCTGAAATATAATGAGTTCAAAAGACAATTTTTACGTATGTTCTAATAAATTAATCACGGAAAAAAACAGAATTTGATTTATTTATCACAAAAGAAATATTCTTAAATAATAATTGAAATTAAAAACACAAAATCAATCTGAAAAAAACAAGCACAGATTACCGACGTTTAAAAAAATATGATATAATAATTATTGTCGGGAAAGACAAATTTATTTATCCTGTATGCCAGGGGTGGACAACTAGCGGCCCGTACTATATTTTAAAATTACATCATACAATTTTAAAGTTTATCAAAAACTCTTAGTGAAAAATCACTTATCAAAAACTAAGATACATTATAATTCCACTACAAGGAAGTCAGCAGCTGTCCAGTAGTCCGTTCAAAACGTGATGAATCGACCATGTGAAAAACCAGAGTAAAAGACACCATAAAGGATGCTTGCAAAGGGTCGAGTTCAAGAAAGATCAGTGTACTAGTACTGAAGGCAGACTTATAAGATCAGGCTCCTGATAGTACACCAACAGTAGTTTGCAACATTCGGTCGAAGAGATCCAGGGAGAACCGCAAAAGGCATAATAAACGGAGCAACGATATCGTTTTTTCGTACATCTGTCAAGCTGAATGGCGTATTCGATTTTCAGAGATTTCTGTCAGTTTTTCTTACACTCAACTAATTATAATTTCTTTATCACATATAAAGCGACATATGTTTTCAATATGTTTCATATTTGCCGTTTTTTTTTAACATTTTTATGCGATGCATAGCGGTGAATTGAGTTGCTGCGGCATTGGTCTGTGACAGCAATGTATCTCAGTGTGTGACCGGCCAGCAACGTAGTTGTGCTATAATAATTGAGCGGAAATGTCTGTTTTTTCGTGTTTTCTTTATAATTATCAATTGTTCTTATAGTAAAGAATCATGTGGCACTGAGATCACAAGTCTTCTTTTCATGATGGCACTGAGGTATCTTTGCAATCATTATGGTATCCGGTGGCCGTAGCTTTCATCGTGAATCCATTATCGTCATATGATGCACAATTAATCTTTCGTATCTTGTCTTTTTTCGTTATGTGCACCTCGAATTCGTTCAAGGATGTTGTTATTACTACAGTTATTTTTTGTTTAAACCACGTTTTTCTTTATTTTGATGTTTGATAAGTATTATTGTACAGAACTTAATTTCTGTACATTTATTCGTTACCATTTTTTAAGAAGTTTACTTCCCAGCATCAATTGCTTAAATAACAATTTAATTGAGGTTTTTGTCCTACGCTGCAAACTTGTATCTTTATTTGTGAATGTGGTTTAGTGATTGCATACACGCAGGAGCTGTGTATATTGTATAAAAATTAATCAACAATTCATTGTATTGCTCACATCCCTGGTGCATGGGATGAAATCCACCATCTACAACATAGTAGTCATATGTGAGTATTGGTCGATTTTAAGTGTCAAATTTATGTTCCTACTGATCGATGTAATGACATTTATCATTCAAAAGTTAAGGTGGTCATTAGTGAGAAAACTAAGGTAATAAGTAATATTATAATCAATGTAATTGTTTCGATCTATAAATAATAATAATAATAATAATAATATAATAAAAATAAATAAATGGGCGAGACAAAAAAATCACAAAAAACCTAACCTAATGTAGGTATGATAACGGGTGTCAGAATACCTTAAGCCTATTTCAAAAAAGTGTAACACTGAAATAAATAAATTTATAATTTGTATTTTTCTAATTTTATTAAATAAATATATTATTGTGCCTTAAATCAGTCTACTTATAATTAATTAAATTTTCCTAAGCTTTTTTTTAAATATTCGGAAGACGAAATTTTATAGTTTGATCTACAATATAACCCAGTTTGTAATTAATTTTGTTAATTTTGTATAAATAACTATGAACAAATTATTGGACAACAATTTATTGAGAGGGACTACATTTTTTTAATTGCAAGGGGCGGCAAAATACTTAGCACCGAGCCTGCGTATTTTCAAATGTTATCTTTTTATTTTATTATGATGGAAAATTTTTTATATCTAATTACAATCCAATTCATTCGAAAATATATTATAAATTTTATTTTTTTTGTTTTTAAAAATTATATCTCACAAGAAATGTATTATTTCTGAAAAAGTAGTGGGGCTATACCCAACCCTTCTATTATCTCCATTAGTACGCCACTATTATCGTTATTAAGGTCTATTTCCACCGTTGACTCCTAAAACCACACACTTTTAATAAAATACAGAAGAAAACTACACAATTTTTAAAATTGTATCTAAAAACCGCATACTTTTGATTTCGACCCAAAAAAAAGGTTATACTTATTTAGGTTAGATATATTTAATAATTTATAATTTATTCAAACTAAAAAAATGCATAACGAGTATTCTCGTAAAAATATATACTATATCAGAGATGGCCAACTTTAATAGACTTGCGATCGACCTCCGAGTTTAGAAAAAAAAAGTAGTTCAAAAAGTTTTATTGAGTATAAAAAAAAATTACATATATATATATATATAGGGTGTTTCAAAAAGAATGCAGGATGTAAATCTACTATAAATTAAATTTATTTTTCAAATAAATTATATTGTAATGAAATAAAAAAAAAAAAAAAAAAAATTAAAATCACTATAAAAACGATTCGGTAATAGAAAAATATAAGGTATATTTGTAAGTAAACATAAATAACATTACGATACAAGCAGTGTAGTAGACGATTTCCCAGGCTTGAATAGTACGCCGCTCGGTCTGTCCCTTATGGCCATTATGGCACAGTAACAATGAAACGTCAACATGTTAAATGTTGAGCGTAATATTGAAGCACAACGAATAAATTACTTCTCTGATAAACGCCCGACGGTAGATACGTCCGATTTGACGAATATACGAAGTAGCGGAAAAATGTATACTGTTCTCCGATTCTATCGGTTCCGCAACATCCTCGTTGAAGTCTTTTGACCCGACTCTGCTGCTGCGTTGGTTATTGTTTCTTCTGCAGTTCTTTATGGATATTTTCGACTCACAGTTGGTAGTTCCTGTTTGCATATTGACGCTAATTGCCAATTGGTCATGGACTTCTGATGGTTTTAATGCATTGATCGTTGGACAGTCTGGAATTCAAACAGTATTCCAATACTAAAATTTAAAAATGCAAAGTTATCCGTATACGTAGAGCCGACATATGGATTTTTAGGGCCTGAGCATATTAATTCGAGGGCCCCTCAATCATCACAATAATATACAAGTAATATGATAAAAAAATATATACCACGTTTGCAAAATGTTAGTAAATATAGTTTTCCAAATCTCAACCAATCAAGGTTATTTAAACGTATCGATACGATGAGTTACATTTTTAATAACTTCTCAACAATGTATTACCAGTTACCACATTTAACAAAAATGTATTTATCTCTTGATAATTTTTCAATAGCTAAAGAAACTAAAAACTTGGTTGTAGACCCATCAATATTTGCGATAGTGAATTTCTATGTAAATATGGATAAAATTATATGATTTTTTGCACTCCCAGAAATAACCATAATAAATTACAGTCATAACTATTTATTTATTTATTTATTTTATAAATTAGAATGACTGAACATGTAGCATGTATAATAGAGCTCAAACATAAACAAGTTAATTTTATTTAATTAAATTTATTAATATTTCATTAAGAAAAATAGTTTAGAAATAATATATTATTTTCAATAATCTCTAATGGGTAACGCCGAGTAATAATTCTAATAAATTTGGATTTTAAGGGGGCTCCTCATAAATTTTCCTAGAATGGGGCAAAACGGTCCCTTTGCGACGACCCTGCGTATACGATACACTAAATCGAAACCGTAAATATTACATTTATTCTCCTGTTGCACCGTCACGAATCTTTCAACTGACAAAGTCTTGTGTATCAATTCTTCATGTTTGCGCCTCATTTATTCATTGTATATGTGTAGTTGTGATTTTAATGTTTTGATAACGGTTGGTATTGCTCATTTGTTGCAGTGTTGTCGGCAATAGCATCAGCTGTTGGGTGTTGACGGCCCAACGCATGTGCGTATCACCGTTATGTAATCGTTTTCGTTATTTCGTATCGCGTGTGTGGGTTCGAAATATTTCTGGTTATGTTCTCGTGAATATTCAAGTCATTCCCCTCAGTGTCACCGAAAGTTCTTAATTTCGCGTGTTTTTTCAATTTATGTAGGTGACACTGAGATTTCGTGTCATAGTTCATGTTCTTGCCCGAGCAGTTTGTTAAAACCGTTCGACAAGCTGACTCGGGCCCTTCTTTTTTCTTCACGTCCGTCGATCGTGCTGGTTCCGTTGTGTTGTTGCGTGTTGTCGACTGCAGCTTTGTCCAAAACAACGTTTTTTTGTTGTGAATTGGCTGTTTGGTAATATCGTTCTAGGCTTTGCAATTTGTTCTAATTTGTTTTTCCCCAGTTTTAAGGTGGTCATTTATTGTACCAACAGTCTTTGTGAGTAAGCGTGGTTTCGTGGTTTGTGTTTGGGAGTGTTGCAGTCCAACTAGTGTTCGTGATTGTTATTCGTCTGGTGCGGTTAGCGGTGTTTTCGTGTGTGTGCGGGATCACACCTGTATTTTTTATTGTACTTAAATTTATTATTATACGGATCTCGACACCACGTGACACTATAACCGCACGCAAGGTAGGTGGTGCACCACCGTCAAAATTTATATTTATTGAAATGGCCGACATAGGCAACGTTTATATTATTTAATTTATATTGCATTGGCCGACATAGGCATCGTTTATTTATACACTGTTAGTGGCCGACATAGGCATTTACTACATTATTGTTACCATTTTGTTTCTTTTTTTTTGTTGAGCCAAACAGGCTACATTTGTGATTTATTTTTTTTTGTATTTATACCAACTGCTGTGATTTTTCTATTCGTTTTCAATTATACAGTCCACTACCAACATTATTTATATTATTTTTATTTAAAGAACGGCCCTATTGTTTCATTTTGAGCAATAGCTTAGTAATTAACACTTCATCAACACAGGAAGCATCGGCATTTTTTATACTTGGACCTCTACAATCTTCTTTCACAATCACAGGTCTTTTCATATCGGTTTTTCGCACGACTGTCTTGTTGCATTTTGCTAACAACTCAGTATCAACAGACAAGTTATTCTATTTCAGTTTCTCTATCATCAGCTTTTTTGTGGCGATTAGCTGTTCCATTGGCTTTATAATTGTAGCCGAACGCTTTCGCGATTTTTTTGTTTTTAAAATATTCGTACATTTTTTTGATTTACAATTGACATTTTCTAATGTGTTTATTGATGCTAAAAAATTTAGTTAGTTAGTTTTTTATGTATTAATAGGACTGTAAATTAATTTGCAAATATATTCACGATTTTTAGGATCATCTTCTGTGTTTAAAATAATCGAAGAAGAATCAGACTCGTCGTCCATTGTTAGAGGCCCGAAACGGTTAGTAGAAATAAACGTATTTTTATCTACACGAGCGAGTATCTTAAGCCTAATCGATTGTTCGTTTTTGTTTTTTAACTTCTTAGCTAAAACTGTCTTCTTTTCAGTCGTCTGTTTTTCAAATATATTTTGCTTAACTGGAATAATAACAGTAATATTTTATGATTTTCGATTTCGAGTGATTGTTTTTTTTTTTTGTTTATGTTTATACACGATTTCGACCGGTAAGATTGTTCTAAACATCACAATCAGTATTGGATTTATGAATAGGCAACATAGACAGGTGCCTAGGGCACAAAATTTAGGGAAAGCGAAAATATTTTCCACCACCTTTTTTTTTATTTTTATTTCAATACTTTTATTGTAATTCTCATGAAATTAAGATTGTTTTTTGTGTTTCATCAAAAATCTTGACTATCGATGTATAAAATATAAAAAATCAACTATCTCAACGTTTACCTTTTATGTTGCCTATTATTGTTTACCTGCTATGTTATGAAATTAGGGTTCCCAACTATCTGTTGTAACTAACTATTAGTTAGTAACTAACGTTAATCATTTTCATGAAAAATCTCAGCTATTTGACTTAAAAACATTTTTATATAAGAAAAACTTCACGAAAATTCACCAAAATATTTAAATTTTGCTGCGTATTTTTATATCAACGGTTATTACCAATTGTTCAGCAGAATGATATTTTTCATGTTTAAAAAGAGCAAAAATTTCTTACTATCTATTAAGTATCAAGATAGAATGAATTCACTAGCCATACTTAATATTATAAACATAATTTACTCGGCAGGTATCGTTTGACGAAATAATAGATCATTTATTTTCTGAAAAACACAGCAAAGGCACTATAAATTTCGATGCATCAAACTTACATCGTTGTTTTGTTACTATTGTTTGATATTTTGATATTTTTGTTTGATTTTACATAATAATAAACTTAAATTTTTCCATGGTCATAATTTAAAATGATTTATAATGAGAACTTTATTTTTATTTGCAGTACATGCCAATAAATAAAAAAAAAAATGAGAGGCTATGAATAGATGATGAGGAAAATAAGACCAACCAAAATACAAACTATTTATAGAGATTGACTATTTTTTTAACAAAATCTTGGAGAACCTTGTTTATCATTCTTGACCATTTATTACATGGCATTGAAAGCGCATGTTCAGCAGTGCCTAAAGGCGCAAAAATCCAAAGTCCGACATTCAATCATATAAGATGTTCGATAAATAATTGAATATAAAACTAGTGCTGTAAGAAAGTCATTTTTTAAATTTTTCATAAATTTTCTAAATAATCGAGAAAAACGAAGAAAAAAATTATAAATCATAGAATTTCAAACTCGGTACCACCTAGTATTTTATTACGTACTATCGTACCATTAAACTACGTGTATATAAAAAACAATTGTATACATTTTTCAAATGACTTTCTTTATAACCGACAAATAATCTTCTATAGGAATGTCGTAAGAAAGTTATGTAAATCTTAAAAAATGTAATCTCAGTGAAAAGTGGAATTTAAATGAATTTTGATTGTGTAATAATAGTTATTTGGTTATTATTCTATAAACCTTAATTATAGCTACTCGAAAAATGTACTAATTACTTATAATAGCATTTTAAAGAAATTTCAAAATACGTTATAACATTTTTACTGATTATAGATACCTGAAATTTTAAACTAAAAATTAAACCTATTTTACTAAGAAATTAGGTTATTTTACTATATTATTCTTCGTTAGAAATATAAACTGTTCTACTTGACCTCTGTCACTGAAAATGCTTTTTTTCGAGGGCAATGTATATTGTTTTCAAGTTTCAAAAGATGAATACAGCAATATATAATTCACTCGTTCGTTACGTTTCAATCGTTTTTATAGTTTCATAGGAAATATGTTTATAAAATTTTGAATACATTTAAAAGAAGTCTTACCATTAGATGCATTTTTCGCGGTGAATTGCATCTCTGTCGTTGGATTTTTAACTACCTTCTCCTTCGAAACCATTTCTCTCTCATGATCAAGTTTATTACTCAATTTACTATCAACTGTAATAGGTCTCTTGTTCTTTAATTTTTGCACAATTTGTGAACTGAAATTAATCGAACACGTAGTTTTTGCATCAGAATTTTTTAAAATTCCAATACAATCCTTTGACTTGGATATAGTCTGAGATGTTCCTGCAACTTTCATATCAACAACTGCCTTCAAGTTAATGATTTTATTGGAATTTCCTGTTTGTTTTAAATTCGATTCTATAGGTTCATTACCAACCGCAGTACCTTTGTCAACAGGGGTTAACCAAAGAATATAATTGGTAGCTTTTACTTTTTTCTTCACTACATTCGTACAAGCTATAATTGGTATGGAAACGGCTTTTGGAAGAAAGTCGTCCTCAATTTCATCTTCGAATTGACACTGTGTCTCGATGATCTGAAAATCTTTTTGGGTCCATGCAACGCGTTTGATAATAAACGTCTGAACAAAATTTAAAGGGACATTATTTTCTGGGCGCAATAGTTCGCAGATTGATGAAACTGTGAACTCAGTCGAATGTGCTCTTGCTGCGGTGTTCACCGAGCGGATCGTAACCGTACATTCGCTGTATTTCATTCGTCTCACGAACCATTCGATGAGAGATAGGCCCTGTATCT